GCGCCCCCAGCCAGGAGGACGAGGAGAGCACTGCGGCTCAGCACGCCTTTCCTAGCAGGGCACAAGCAGCAGGGCAGCCCCTCCAGCCCCATTCCGTCCCTTGAGCACCCTGTCCCATGCCACCCCCTTACCTGCCGTATCGCTCCACCAGCACCCCCACCAGCAGGGAGCCCACCAGCCCGCCCAGGGCGAAGATGGAGACAGTCAGGGAGTAGAGGAGGGTCAGAGGGCCGGGGGCTAGCCCGTGCCCATACCGCCGGGACCACGTGGCGTTGTAGAAAGCCTTTATGTGCTGCGGGGCATAGAGAGACACACGGGCACCAAATGTGTTGGGAGAAAGGGGAAGATGAGGGAAGACAGGCCCCGTAGGGAAAATGCCATGGGTTTAGCAGCATTGCAGGAGGTGCAGGACAGGACACGACTGGGGATGACTGGGATGTGCTGGTCTGGTTGCTCAGCCAGCCTCAGCACCAGAGGGCTTTAAGGACAAATTAGAGGTGCCACAGGCAGAGCTAGAGCAAGGAGGTTGTGGGCAACTTTCCCCAGCCCCTGCCTTCCAAGGAGGACCAGTCTGCGAGGGAGTATACAAACACAGGCTCCCATGTCCCTCCCATGATGACCTTCTGCCCAGACTGCCCTCCGTGGGTGACTGCCCAAGGGAAATGGGGCTCCTGGGTAGAGGTTCCTCCACCCTCCCAGGGAGGGACACAGAGCCCTTCCCCTGCTCCTGGAGAGGCTGCCCACCCCTTACCTCCGCCGGCGAGTTCACCACGGCCAGATTGTAGCCATAAAGCATGGAGGAGCCAAAGGACACGAGGAGGGTGACTGACAGCAGAGGGAAGGTGAGGTGCTGGGAAAGATGACAAGGGGTCAGCACAGCCCGAGCCAGCAGAGCAGGGGGCCAAGGTCACATGTGGCACAAGCTGTGTTGGGTCACTGCCCCTTTTCTTAGCAGGGCTGAACCTGCAAAGCCCAGAGCAAAGACCCCAGTGCAACAGAGAGCTGTGCTGAGCACTGCTTCGTGCCACTGCCTAGCACCCAGCCCAGCCGATACAGCTTCCCCGTGGCTGGTCTCATAGCTGTGGCATAAGGCTTTACCCTGGCAGTGGCCCAGCTCAGCTCCTGGTCCAGGCACCCCTGCCCTGGGGCTGGGAGGGGGCAGGGGGCAGAAAGGGGCAGGTGGAGGAGGGAGAGACGCTTGTCTCCTCCCATAGACAGGGGCACCCAAATGGCACTGCTGCGAGCTGCCCCACACATACCTCCCTGCCCGGGGGGCCCAGAGCCACTGAAAAGTGCGGTTCCCCGCGGCAGGGCAGGTCCCAGTCCTCCCAAAATGCACCCACCTCCTAAACCCTCGCCCCCACCAGCACCTCTGTCACCTATTTCTGCTGCAGGGCGGACCTCGCTGTAGGGAGCTGATGGCTGCGGAGGGACACCCTGCAGCCCCGACCCAGCCTGGGAGGGAGTGAGACCGGCCCACCCCGAGATCGGGGTGCCCAGCAGGACCCAAGAGGCATTCAGGGCACTCCCCAGCCACAGGGGCACCCCTGGGTGCTGCACCCAGCAGTCTCCCCTGGAGCAATAAGCGTCCCACGGCCCCACAGTGGCGGGG